TGGATGAACATGACGGTGTCTTAATGTATTTGGGCTGCTATAACAAAACACCAGAGATTGGGTGGCTCAAAAATAACAGAAATGTATAGCTCCCAGTTCTGGAGGCTGAGTATCCCAAGATCAAGGTGCTGACACATTCTGTATCCGGTGAGGTCCCACTTCTTGGTTCACAGATGGCCATTTTTTCTGCTTTTCACATGTGAGGTTGAGGGGTCTTTCTGGGCCCTCTTTTATAAGGCCACTAATCCCATCGTGAGAGCCCCACCCTCATGACATAACCACTTCTGAAAGGCCTAACCTTCTAATATCATTATACTGAGGAATAGTTTTCCACCTAGGAATTTTGGGAGGACACATTCATACTAGAGCAGATGGGTAGATGGGTCGGTGAGTGGGTGGCTTGCTGGGTGGGCAGGGACTGGATCTGGATGCAGAGCAGGACAAAACTGAAATGTGACAGAATTTGTGCAGCCCAGGGGGTTCTAGTCTAAGCAGCTGGGTAGGTAGGGAGTGAGGTAGTGGTGATCTCTAACTCCAGGGGGAGCAGGGCATGCTGGGAGGCAGGCAGCAGTACAGAAGCCCCTTTCTTCTTCTGGTCAGGTGGGCACTGCCCAGGAACGATGAACTTGGCATTTGCTAAGACTCCCTAGGCCACCCCAGCCAAACTCTGGCAGGGCTTTACTCTGGTCCAGCCACCTACACCCATCTCCGGGGGCCTTTCTCGGGGGTGGGGGGGTCTCAGGCTGTAAGTGAGGAAAGGAGGAGCCTGCACATCCAGGCAGCCCACCCTGGAGGTGAGGGCCTGGAATCTTCCATCAGGTGGACTTAGATTTCTCAGTCCTCCCAGTTCCCACAATGGAGATAAGTCCAGACTTTGGGCAACAAGGTAGGGTAGTCCAAAAACCATTAACAAAGAATCTTAGTCCAAGGGAGACAGATGGGTGGGCTTCAAAGCCTTGCCAGAGAATGGGTGCAGAAGTGGAAAATGATGGCAAGCTAGAGGGCAGCGATATCTCTCATTCAGGGGTGCTCCTCCTACCCGTCCCCCCCACTAGATCCTGATCAGTGTATGCCTGTATATGTCTGTGTGCCTATGTATGTGTCTGCATGTGTGTGTGTCCTTGTGTGTAACTGGACCCACCCATAGGGTTGTTAGGAGGCTTCAACAAGATAATACTTATAAACACCTAGGGTGCAGGGCCTGGCACATGGTTAATTCCTTGTATTAGAACCTGTTATAGAGGAGGAGAGGGCAAGAGCTAAGAGCTAGGACTCCAGTCAGGCTTTTGGTACATGGTTTGGCTCTGCCACCACAATTAGGATAATTAGGGCCAAACTTGCTATAAGTCTGAAGTTGTATTTGGTCCTCAGAGGCAAAATTTTCTATAGACCCTGGTCAGTCACCCCATCCCACCCTCAATGGCACACCCTTGGCCCTCAAGCTACTCTGTTGTCATCCAACAGGACCTTCTGCTTCACAGGAAATATGTTCTAACACCCTGTCCCCCAAACTCACCTGGATCTGTTCCCATTCTTCCCCCATCCATTTCCTGGCCTGTCGCAGAAAGAGATGTCCTATATCTCATCCTGAGACCTTGTGGTGCATCTCCCCTCTCTTTGCCTCTCCCACTTTGTACCCACCTCTTCTGTGACCAGGAGACATGTTCAAGTTGCTCTATCTCCCTTCCCTTCCACTTGTTCCTGCTCCTGGCAATTGCAATCCCATATCCCATAATGCTGAATGCTGAAATCCCATAAAGAAATTTTTCTAATTATTTCACTTCCTCCAAGCCAGGTGGCTCTGGGCAGGTTCCTTCTGCTTTCTGAGCCATTTCTTGAGCCCCATGGGTCCTTTCCAGCTGAGAACTCGAGAGCCAGGAGTGTATGAGGAGTCAGAAGTCTATGTGTTCTACCTTTTCTCTGCTACCTATTCCCTGTGTGGCTTTGGGAGGCTCTCAGCCTTGGTTTCCTGTTTCCCTCTCTGAATATTGGCCTGGCCTTATAATCCTAGGGCTTCCATGGGTTCCATCCTTTGCTTTGAATGCCACATAGGCTGGGAATCTCAACCCCTTTCCCAATGGAAGCCAGCCTCAGGCTGCCGTCCAAGAGTGAAGGATGGGAAATGGTGAAGGGAGGGTCAGGGAAGGCTGTACCTCCAGCCTGGAAACCACCCCCCTGGATGTGGGTTCAGATACAGCCCCCCCCCCTTAACATGTAGCAGGCATTCAGGGCTTCACAAACTCCTGTCATCACAGACCGCCTTTGGGCGGGCTGGCCAGGCTCTGTGCTAGAGGATAGACCTCAGCCCCAAGGCAGGAAGAAATCCATCAAGATCCACACAGTGAAGGTGGAACTCAGGGGGTTCTGTGGGAATTCCATGGTTTCCCCATCCCTTGTCATTGAATACAACTTCTCCCCCAACCAGTCAGGATGGCCATTGGGTCATCCCCCTCCTGGTGCAGAAGGGGAAATAGAGACCCAGCTTTGTGCAGGCCAGCCCCATTCCCCCACTGACCTCAGCTGCAGTGGCAGTGGCAGCCCACGGAACCCCAGCCTCCCCCAGCAGCCACGCACACTTGCTGAGACCTGCATCAGGGCCTGTATTTGGGTAAAGTGTGTGTCCAAGGCCCTTGTGCTGAGAGGGTCCTCACACTGCCAGAACTGCCAAGGAATAAGGAGCTGGGAAACAGAAAGGGAGGGACACTTGCTGGGATCCCACCCAGGGCTGAGCTGTGAGGCCACAGCTTCCTGTCCCAGTTGCCCCTCCACACAGCCCCCTTCTTCATGTGAGGAGGAGGACCTGGAATGGCAGGCCCAGGCCTCTGGTGAGGACAGCAAGTGGGGTGCATGGGAACAACCCTCCCCCTACCTGGGTCTCCCTTGGAGAAGGTGCCGCAGGCTGCAGCGGATCAATGGTGCGAAGGCCGCTCATTTCCTCTGGCTCGGAGGAGAGGCCATGCCACACAGCTCCCCCATTGTTGACTGCCCTTATCTCGGGAAGTTCCACCTACCCCATCCGTCCATCCGGGAGAGGCAGCTAGACCCTCAGGCTCCCTCCTCACCTTTCTTTGCCTCTTGGAAGCTAGAGAACTTGGCAGGCTCAGATGATGCCAGCCCCTTCCCATGGGAAGCCTGGATACCCGCTGAGGGCAATAGTTATGGAGAGCAGAGTGGCAGGGCTTAGGTCTCAGCTGAGCTTCAAAAGGGCAATCCTGGGGCAGGGTGGAGGCAGAGAGAGTGGGACGCAGCAGATGGAGGGAGCCAGGTTGCACTTGAGGCCCAGACCAGGTAAGGCAGGGCAGCCATAGAGGGCACATATTCTTCAGTTTAGATCCTCCTTCCAGGAGTGCACATGGCTTCTGGTTCCGCTTTAGGATGCGGTGCAGTCATACATCTGCTCCAGGAAGCTTCCCTGACCTCCCCCCAACCCTATCACAGACCCCCATCAGAGCCCAGAGCACCCTGTGTGCATGCAGGGCTGACTCCCCGACCGTGCGGACTGCCTTCATGGCAGGTCCCCATGTCTGAGGGCTTGCCCCACACCTGCCTTCTCCAGCCTGGTGAGGACCCACTACAGCTGACTGTGGCCACATCCAACAGGCACTCAAGTCCCTGGCACAGGCCCACTGCCCCCACCAGACTACCTGCCCTCCACAGCACGCTTCCGGCCAAGTGTCCCTCCACCTGGGAGTCTCTGCGCACACGTCCCCTGGAGAACCTGCCTCTCACTGAGGACTCACAGGTGTTAGCATTCCCTGTGGCACCTCTGTGCGTGCCTCCCCTGGTGCCAGGGAGTGCAGTGGAAGCCACTCTCCTCTGCCTCAACAGCTTCACTCAAAAAACTGTTCAAAAAGGTTTTTACATGGCCCAGGGATTTAGTTCAGTGGTTATGCTGCCTACCTTGCTAATGCAAGGACCTGAGTTCAATCCCCGCTACCAAAAAAAAAGGTTTCCACAGTTTAAAGGAAATGTTTAAAGTCACTCATTCACTTACCCTAACTGTAACAGATGACGTAGTTCTGCTAACATCTCTAAAAAAAATCTAGATTTTTTCAGTTTCATGGCAACACTGCTGAGAACTTCCAATCAGGAGTTTTCACTACTTCCAAGGACAGGGGTCCAACAATGCTGAGGGGAGCCACATGCCAGTGGGTGGGGAAGTGAGGACCCTTGGGCCACACATACCTCTCAGGGAGCGAGAGGAAGGAGGAAATTTCATCTCACGGAGAGGGAATCCGTGGCAACCAAGGCAGTCTGGGTCAGGGTGGAGGCTCCCTAAGGGTCCTGGGGGGCTGCCTCTCCTCCCCTCTTCCTTCCTCTGCGCCAGCAGGTGGGGGAGAAGCAAGGGTGGACAGGAGTGCTGGCGGCGGCAGTCACAGGACACCCAGGCCAGAGGACAGTGTTTCAGGCATCTGGAGCCAGCTCCCTTCCTGAGAACAGGGGTCAGCCTGGTCCGCAGCCAGAAGGGTAGATCATCATGCCAGAGGCCTCATAATGCCTCTTCATCTTGGGTGCACAGCAGTGGTGGCTACTTAGCCATTCCGACCCAAAGGTCAGGTCAGTGGGGTGACCACTGGCAGAGTCCAGGTGACAGGTGCTATGGTTGATCTGGGCAGTGGATGGGGGAGTGACATCTGTCATTATCTCCCAATGGCATCTAGCCTATACATCCAGTGGCCCATCAGCAAGTAGCTGGGCCCTGAGTAAGTCCAGGGCCCTGTCCCAGTCCTTGAACTGGGGCTGGTGTCCCTGAGACCCTGCCCCATGGTCATTCTATTTTGAAAAGGCCCCGTGCCTCCCCCTCCTGTGTAGGTTGATAGGATAGCACCAGTGGCCTCCATGGAGCACTAGGCCTCACTCAGCCCTAGTCCCTCCCTCCTTCCCTGAGACTCCTAGGAAGTTCCATGGCCTGGGCACCTCTCTGACCGAGACTGGGAGATCCGGGCGCTCCACACACTGGGCTTTCATGTGCAGGAGCCAGAGCAGAATATGTGGGTGGG